GGCGGGGAAACGTTTTCACCTGAAAAAAGCAAAATTTTCTTTTAACAATTCGATTCACTTGATGGTCGTTTATTGAATAAACTTACCCGATGCATCTGTTTGTTCCGAACCACCTCCTTCTGCACCAAATAGACCATCAAGTAAATAAAGTGTTGGCGTTGTCGCATTTTCACTGGTGATTGTTTGGTTGTTAATACCTAGACCATCATCATTTTCACCTAAACATTGACATTTGTTTTAAACGTAAATTTACAAGAAAATATCATTTCTAAAAAACAATCACAAACATTGATTGGTAATTGCTTTGATAAAATTGCAACGAGAATCGTAACAACACTCTCAATGACAATTGCAACCACAAATGCAACGACAACATCAATAAAAATATATTTCGGCGGATTTTAGCTTTTGATGATTAAAAACAAAAAAAATCTTATTTGACGTTTACCCTGAACTGATTGTTCATCCAATGATGGCGTGGACACGTTTTCGCCTGAAAAAAGCAAATTTTCATTTAGCAGTTTGATTTACTTGCTGGTCTTTAATTGAATGAACTCACCCAATGGCGCTGTCGCATTTTCACTGGTGATTGTTTGGTTGATAATACCTCGACCATCATCATTTTCACCTAAACATTGCCAATAACAGCAAATAATAATCAATATAAGCATCGAAAAATAAGAAAATACATTTCACTAAAAATTACCTTGACCTCTTGTCACAAAGCTCTGAACATATCTGTTCATCTGAGCTGTGGTGAAGTAAGATTTTCTTCCAACTTTTTGTGTATGGCCTGGAAAAGCACTTGTACTAGGAACATTATCAGTTTCATTATCCAATGGTGATGAATTTGACGAGTATGACAATGATTCCATATTTTCACTTTGTAATGCATGAGAGGTTGACCAAATAGCATTTGATGATGCCTGTAATGTTCCACGAGATGTCGACGCCGCAACTCCAGATGATGTCAAATTAGATCTGCCCGAATAAGGTTTTGATGCTGGTTGTAAACTTAATCTTTTGCTAACAATTGGAGCGGCTTGAGGGGGTTGCACAGACATTCTGCGTGGAATTTGTACATTACGAATGCGTAATGCTAATGCATCCAATCCTCGGTTGTGTTTAATGCGAATCGAAGATCTGGCTAAACGTTCAATTCCAGCTTTGAGCAAAACTCGTGAAATAGAGCGTGTAACTAGATAATAAAATTGCAAGTAAGGCATATTAAAACAATTGGTAAGCGGTGTCTACCGGTGTCTACAAATAAACGTATAAGGCTTTCAAAAAACGCTACCAAATAGACGCTATAAGAGACAAAATCAAAAACAGATTTTTCCCATTAAACGACCTATATTTTTAAAATCAATAGCAATTGAATGTTTGCTATGCATTTCTTTCAATTTTCACTTCAAACGTGAGAATTAATAATGATTACTTTTAAAATTATAGGTTATAATTATTCTATTCTTGGAATCTCTTTTTTATTTCATCTCTTTTCTAAAACTTTTGTGAAAATAGTAAATTTCAAATCAATCAAATAACTATACTTACTTGCTCGACCCATAATTTAAAGTTTTAACCAAAAAACACAGATTTAAAAAAAAATCACTTTATTTCACACAAATTTTTGTGTTGAACACGAACGATATGATGCGATGTGGCGAACGATGTGATATATGAATATATGATTTTCTTTTTGACAGTAATTGTCAAATGGCGCGAAACGAAGCGTGTGTTATGTATTTGTTTTTTGTGTGTTGGCTGCGGTTGGCTGTGGTGGTTTAGAGTATTGGACGTTGGTGGCGCTGTTTGCATGTAAAGTCAATATTTTATATTGAGTTAAATGGAAGACGCTCAGTATTCGAATTGTTTTGAAGAAGAAGCACATGTTTGAGTCTCACTCATCTCCGCCCCTTATTATCAAGACTTAAATTGACATAAAAAAGTGAATTGAGAAAAAAATCAACTGTTTGTCTTTAAATGAATGAATTTTATTTTCAGAAAACTATGGTCGGCACATTGTTTAGGCAACCTGCTAACACAAAAGTATATAGTTTATAGAATTATATGTGCATCCATGTATTAGAAATCAAAGTTAATAAAGACATCTTCTGATCTTCATTAATTGCGACTCTTTGAATTCTTTTGGATGATTTGTCTGCATTCTGTTGATAAGTAATTTTAGGAACTTCGGTTACTTTATGAGAAATATTAGGTACATCTTTTGTGGGTTTAGCTATACTCTCAACAGGTGTTCTTTTAGCAAGAAGATTTGGAATAGGAATATTCTGCGCGGTATTTAGTATCTTTTTAGAAATGAGATTGTTGGCTACGATTGAAGACTTGAAATTCCCACTTGAATCTGTGTTTCCAGAAGTTGAACTCGGACTTATCTTTTCTGAGTCCGCAGCACTTGCTCCGATCAATAAAATTACGATAAATTGTACAGATAAATTCGTCATTTTTAATTTTTATTTTCGTCTTTTCTTTTGTAAACTCAAGTAAACTAATAACTAAATTGTTTCCAATTGGTGACTCTTATATATTTTTGAATTTACTGTATTTTACATTTTTAAAACACTAAACCACATTAAAATAATAAATTACAGATGTTCAACATTCCAAAAAATGATATTTATTCATATATTTCAGTCTATGTATTTCGGATGGATATCCATCCGAGATATTTAGGAATGTCTGGATATTTAACGCAACTGCACAGAGCCAGAGCTGTGTGCGTCCCACATATAATCTACAGTATGTCGCTGCACGTAAAATGCAGTGTGACTGTGTACGTGCGGCACTTGATACACATATATGTTGCGACATACCGTAGATTCTATTTGCGACGCACACAGCTCTGGCGCTGTGCAGTTGCGTTGAATATCCAGATATTCTAAAATATCTCGGATGGATATCCATCCGAAATACATAGACTGATATATTTTATCAGTTGTTCAAATTAAATGAAATTTTTTGAGAAAATTGTATGTTTTTTTCATATTCAAGTATTATTTGAATACTGTTCTATACGCAGTGGTAAAACATTTGCTATGGTAACTGGCGTGCTTGGGGATATTCACACGAACTAGAAAATTAGCAAACTAGCATGCACTAGCATTATTTTGAAACAACCAAGATTTAACTCAACCGACCAATCTAAAGAACTAAGAAAATACTAGTAAAACCTAGCAAAAACTGGAACATAACGAAGCTAACTTCATACTAATGTGGGTACAATTTGTACGTAAACAGCCAAGAGAACCAACTTCAAGCACTAGTAAAATTAGCAAAACTCATACGTCCTCACCAATCTAGGGGTCCGATTAGGAATTACAACATGAAAAAATGGAATAAAAGAATAAGAAATAAATAGAATTGGATTTTTTACTTACCCCTCTCAATTTTTTTCCAATTACTCCCCCTTTCTACCTTGAGGACGTATGCCAAAAGTAGATTGGTGGATAGCCCCATGATAAAAAAGTAACATTCACACTAGTTTAGTAGAAAAATAATCCTAAACATGTTATATGCAAAAATGCTTAACGGATCTTAATATAAGTGTATACACTTATCGTCAAAAATTGATGACTTTGGAATTAGAGAGATTAGTTTTGTCATTAAAGTTTTGAACGTTTTGAAATAAAAAACTCTTGAAAAGCTCAAATAAAACGTCCTTTTTCCATTAAACGACGATGGCATTATTCTATACCAAAATCTTTTCATCATGTTTGTTCTTAAAACTGTAAGTGAAATTTATTTGTCCAAATAAATACATCCATTTTTAATCGAACTATTTTTTTCAATATCAGTTGTATTCTTATATCTTACGTGAATATAATTAATTGTAATGTATTGGTCGAGATTGCAAAGCGCAATACTCCATGTTCAAATGAAACTATCAATTATTTCATTGAATTTGTTCGTGAAAAATATGGTTTCGATATGATTGACGTTCGTTGCTACCCACATCTCGAAAATTATCCACAAATTCCTGGTGACCAATACGATATCCAAATTTTATACAGTGATGAATTTAGTTCGGGCCATTATACAGTCGTTTTTTATGATCCCAACTATCAAACTGTTTATATTTATGACAGTAGAATTACTGTGATGGAATATGAAGTAACTGGACAACGTTTATCAATCATTGAAAAACGCTATCCAATGGCAAAAATAGTACCTGTCATACCAAAGGTCGAACAATACGATGAAATATCCAGCGGGCTATTTGCTATTGCATACGCAACAACATTGATCTTGGGAGAAAGTCCAGCAAATTATATTTATGAAATGAATCCAAGACACTCTGATAAAGCAATTAATTTGCGTAAACATATTATCAAAATGTTTCGAACAAAAGAATTATCCGAATTTCCACGGTAATTTTTACTTAATTAAAATCCAGATAATTCTTCAAGTAATACCTTCAAATGATTTTCTCTTCAAAATAGATGTTCTCGTCTGGATATTGATTATATTTCTGGACCTCTAACCGATCTCAATCACAACGTATTGGAGGAGCTCACGACACCAAATTACTGCTTGTCTGGTTTTACGGTTAATCTGTTTAGTAATTTAGTTGAGGCGACAACCGATTTTAATTTGCTTCCAGTTAATTTTATTCACTATCCCGAACTATGTCCCATTCATGATGAGACAAAAAATGACGTACAAATTTTATTCCAGTTACACGATGGTGTAGGGCACGTACATACCATATTTTATAATGCTGCAAATAAAACGGTGATTGTCTATGACTATGAAACTGTTGACATGAGTGTGGGTATGCATGTTATAAATAGACGCTATCCAAACCATGAACATATTACGTTTGTTGATCGAAAAACAAAACAAGTTGATGAAACCTCATGTGGACCGTTTGCTATTGCGTATGCAACCACATTGATCATGGGCCATGATCCCGAAATTTATGACCTTAAAACGTATTCAAAACCTAACGAATTATTCGATCATTCGGCCACTTTTCGAAAACATATTTTAAAAATGTTTCGAGCAAATAAATTATTGCCGTTTCCACAGTAACATGGGATTTACGTTCGTTAGGGCCATTTTAACGATAAATAATTTTAGTTTGGATAAATTGACCAACATTTTCAACCGAATTTTTTTTAAAACAAAAAGCTTTCATTGTAATAGGGTTTTTAAAATGAATATTCATATAATAAAAAATAGCTAATACAGTGAAAATACTCACCTTTATTATTTGTGTACGTGTAAACTTTTATCACTCCACGTATACAGTTTACTCGTCATTTTTTTAATTTTTCTTCTTGTCTTTTCTCTTGTAAGCTAAATTGTATCCTATTGAGAGTCACTTATATATTTTTGAATTTACTGTATTTTACTTTTTTAAAAAAATTACAGATGTTCGAAATTCCAAAAAGTGATATTTATTCATATATTTTATCAGTCGTTCAAATTAAATGAAACACAGATAATTTTTTGTGGAAATAGTATATTTTATTCATATTCAAGTATTATTTGAATAATTTTCTATTCAATGCGCTTATTTGAAATATCTGTCGTTGATTTGGTCAGAACTGGTGATTCCTTAGTAAGAAGATTTGGAAGACTCTGCACACTTTTCAATATCTTTTTGGAAATAATATTGTTGGCAACTTTCGAATTTTTTGAAGTATCAGTTTCACATGCAAAGCACATGGCAGCCAAAAAAGCCAATAATGTAACAAATAAGAACTTTGCCATTTTCTTAATACATGTATTCTCTTCTTTTTGTATCATATGATTAGAATTTGTGGTGAACTAAACTTAAACGTGTCGGGTGTACTTATTCGATATCTAATACAGTTAAACATTTTTTAAAACTTTTTAATAATGTAAAGTATTGTCACTTGTCTTATAAGAAACGTTTTGAAAAATACTGCAATAGAATTTGTGGTATTTGGCTTTATGTAACCAGCTGAATCGTATTTTAGAAGCACAATTTTGTTTGTTAATTTTTGAAACAACCAACTTGGAACCAACTCGACCGATCATTTATAAAAAGTAATATTCACATCAGTCTGGTAGACAGTAAACATAATGAACAAAAACGACCAAACTTTCATTTAAAACGGGCTTGTGACCGTTGATTGTAGTTTTATTTATCTCAAATCGGAAAGTAAACATATTATTGCATTCGAAAATGAGATACATCTGTATATGTAACTTATAATTTATGAGCAAACAACAAAAAATGTTTCATTTATCTTTTCGCATAATGAACGACCAAAGGTAGTATATTCTTTACAGTTTTGATTGCCTTTATCATTTTCGGCTTCGATGGCTGGTTTGGTTTTGCGGAATCCTTACTCTGGGAAATATCGGCCACGTCAGCTAATAAAGAACTAGATTCCTTAACTGCAGCATTTGGTGCGAATGGATTTGGAGCTTTTTGAGCGGCATTCAAAAGAGTTTTTGAAATAATATTATCGCCCACACTTGAAGTATTAGGAGATCCGTTTGATGACTTTTTCCCGTCCTCGTATGCAACACACACGCCAATCAGCAAAAATAGCCAAAAAAGTGACAAATGATTTAGCAATCATTTTGATATTTTTTAAACTCGCACACAATTCGTATTGTTAATTGAAATGAAGACTTAACGATAACAAACCTTGCTTATATATGAATATTTCTCAATTCGTTGACAAAATACACTATCGTACACCAGATGAATTCAATTTGTAATTTATTTCAAAACAATTTGTTTTTAATATGATATATGGTGTTAGTGTTTTCTTAGTTATATAATTTTTATATGAAAATGAAATTTTTTATTTACGTTTTAAATTTGATTAAATATGTAAGTATTCATAAGAGATTTACATAGTTCTTTAGAATCTACATACAAAGAGTTACATTGCTCACACATTGTACGTCACCCCTATCTCAAAAGTTTTATATTTATAAAGCCACCACGATTTTGGTAAGATTCAAAACATTCTGTGTAAATTGTTATATATAATATTTATTACAAAGAGAAGAATTCATGGTAGTCTACTTGACAAAAAACATGATATTATTTTGCGAAAATAGGTTACATCAACAATAAACCCACACAGTGAGCGCATTGTATAGAAGTACATATAATTTTAAATGATTGTTTACGTACACTAGCGCCACAATCTGGTGTTGAAAACCCGTCTATTATCATTTGTGGCGTTACTGTAATAGTAACAAAAAATGAAATCTTATAATTGACTTTTCGCATAACGTACGACAGTTGGTAGCAAAGGTAGTACATCCTTGATATTGCGGACATTCGAATGATGATTTGATTTTGCAGAATCCTTTTTCTGGGAAATATCGGCTACATCACCTGGGTGTTGATCGGTTCCCTTTACTGCAGAATTCCTTGCGAACGGATTTGGAGCTTTTTGAGCGGCAGACAAAACACTTCTTGAAATAATGTTATCAGCCATATGCAAAGGTTTAGAAGACTTTTCTCCATTTTCAAATGCAACGCACATGCTTATCAGCAAAATATTCAAAACAGCGACAAATGATTTACTCATCGTTTCAAAACTTTTTTTTCAAGCTTATGAACTTATAAATAGAAATGAAGTAAATTAAACGATAACCATTCTTGCTTATATAGAAAAACTAACACCACGAGTGAATTTATTAAAAAATTCCATAAAGGGAAAGAACCATACATTAGATCAAAATAATTTATTTATCTCGTTATAATATTTCGATATTTCTGATAATCGTTCAAAAAGAATTCCATAGCACACATTGATATATTTATATCATACTCACTTTAAGACTTATTCTTTATATTGTTGTAACCAAGTAGATGACATATATATGAGATTGGAGACTTTTTTATGCGAACACCGCTAATCAGCGCCATCATGCATGACATCGGTGAACTCAATTTATATCGGTATCATGAAAAATAATGTGCTTTTATATTTTAAAACGATAGATGATAGAAAATTATTAAAGTTTATCATAGTAAAAAATAAATTAATTTAATTGGTTCTACTTCACACTGTAAACAAACAAAAAAATATAACAAATTGAAATACTTTTTGGAACACACAATAAACAATGCATGTAATAACAATGTGAACGTAACAAAAATATTGTATTGATTATTATTTCAAGCAAGTAATTTTTTTCATTTATTTAAATTATTTTTTTTTTCCTTAAAATCGATATGATTTGAATTTTTGAACAATAGTTTTTGTTATATAATTTTTATTTATGATGACTAGTAAGCGTGTGGTTATTTTATTTCTCTCCACAATGTAAAATACGTAGAATGATTATACGTATATGAAATAAGACATTATTCACACTTGTCAAAATAGATTTGACAAGTCACACACGAATGCCGGTTGTTTACATTTTGAAGTCGCT